CGGGAGAGAGAGAGAGCTATACTGCCAGTCAGCCACCAGGGGGAGATAGAGCGAGAGAGTCTATACAGATGACAGAGTGGCTTTAATCGACACTGATTCACATTTATTTTCGTTCATGGTGCTGACGACCAAAAGATCCTACAATTGTTCCGATACCAGTATCAGAAATTCCTCTAATATTGACTAAAATGCGGGAACGGTGAGTCTGTGCACTGATACAACGTAATTCATTAGCCTCCGAAACGAGACCCTGCTGCTATTTCAACCAGACTTCGGTACTCAAATTGGCTGATACGCAAACTTAAGGATTCAGTGGAATCTGTATCCAGAAGGAATAAATGGTATCGGAACATCTTAAGTAGATTAACTCAATTTATTACCTTCATTTATCGGTTTGGATATGACATTTTCATATCCAGATAAACGGGCTATGATCCGATTCCATTTGATGCAATCTGATACACTTAACATTTGTTTAATGTAGACATTTATTTTAGAGTCTTACTTAAAAAAGGTCAGTTCTATGAAAGTGACATTGTTTACCTTCAAATTCATACATTTCATAAAATACCAGAGAAAGAATATTTTCTTTCTTTATGGGAAAAAAATGGAAGACTTCGCCCAGTTGTGACCAGAAAGTGTTTAATATCTTGCGTGTTCTTGCTTGTGCTAGCTGTATTAGCATCCACAGAATCCTCGTGCCCGCATAGATCTGTCTATGCTGTATCGCTGTCCGACAGATCTTACAAATGGACAGACTTGTGCCCAACCTTCCATCCATCTCATTCAATCCAAATGTCTTCCAAACTTTAGATTTCTCTGACCATCAACTGCTTCATTGGATCCATCCAGGGGTCCGCATACCTATGTAGTTGCATCAATTATGTTCGTATCGTATCAGTAAATCTTTACACCACTAATATGCACACAAAAGAAATCTGGAGATCAGTGTCTTTCTTAAGAACAGTACTTGTGGACGAGTGGAGCTGGGAATCAAACCACCAACCATTCAAGTAACAGACAAACCACCTGAGCTAATTCGGCCTTTGTAGTCGTTCGGTCAATTTAAGGGTCTTTGTTTTGGGTTGAATGGCAGCAAACAAGAAAAGATGCTACATCAACCATCCCATTGTTGGATAAATCGTATAATGTTGTACTGATAAGTGATTCAGTCAGTTTTTGGGGTTGATCAGTGTTGCAGCTGCTTCTCTTCATTCATCTACAGCAGCTGCTAGATTCAGAAATAGACCAGAAAATAAAGACGGGATGGAAATGAGCCTCTTTACCAGCAGCTTTACACCACTTGTTCCTGAGAGCTGAGATGACGCGGGTTATTTTTCCGACTAAACACTACGGTGTCTAATTTCCGTAATGAGGGCACCTTCAGTCAGAGAGGAGCGACTAATCGATGAAAGCTGCTGGATTGAATGGAAAAGCTGCAGATACGTTCGGCATCTTCCACGATTCATGAGTGTCCAAAACAGCGTTTGTGTCTCTCTTTATACCTTCTGAACTAATGCGCACACGTTTCTCTGGGGGTGTCTATAGGCTGGACCGGGCTTCAAAAGATGTGTTTAGGGCGACGTGTTTCCAAAAACAGGAATCAGTAATGTTTTTGTTTTTTTTCTGACCACACTCGAAGGCGAAGTGAAAAGCTGGTCGTCTTTCTTGGAAGACATTCATAGTGTTGCACTCATGTAAACAGAGACAGACGAGTAAATAAGTGGTTTCCCAACCTGAGGTGAACTCAAGAGCCTCAAACAATCATGTTCCAAATGTGTTCATCTGAATTGATTGTAAACTGTTTGATTTTAAAACTACTGACTATATAAAAGTGGATGTTATTCGAATATTTTTTCATGCTGTTGGCGTGCTCAAACTTTTTCTCTTGGTGGACTGAAACTGAAACAATCATGAGCCCCGGGCTAAAAGCAAACTCCATTTATTTTGAACAATTAAGATAAAAAATGGTGTAAGGATCTAGATTATGAAAAACAATTAAGGATTCTACATATATAAAAAGCATTTTAATGAATAAAACAGCACACACAATGATTTATATACAATATACTTTTAAAATCACTTTTCACTAGAAACATCTGGCGGGACAAATAAAACTTTATACCGGGTCAACTGTGGCCTGCGCGCGCTACTTTGGGAAGCCCTGGTTTTGACTCTTCATCAATTACTCTTTCAACCATTTATCCATTTCTTTTTAGCTAATTATTTAGACTTCTCTATTAAACTGAATGTAAGCCCTGCTCCCTTTCACTCTGTGCTCCAATCACAGTTGTGCAAGCCTTGGTCAACCTCCTCCTTTTCTTTACTTATGCTATATGCTATATGCTAAGCTAATCTATGTTAAAAAGACAACCACATTTTGAAGAGGGTTCAAAGATAAAAGTTTCACATATACAGTCACATCTTAAGTTAGATAATGTTAGTAAAATGTAATAAATATTTTCGGATTAACCCCTTCGAATGTCAATAAACTGGGGATGAGATTCTCAGAAGTCTGCAACCAGGTTGAAAGACCAACATCCTAATTTGTTTTATTGTTTTCTTCACAGGTTTATTTTAAGGCCAAATCCAAGTACTCACCTGCACTGCTCAAGTACAGGTAACTTCTTCAACCAACTCATTCTCCAGGTGTATTCATAAATCAGAATCTGTGATAATATCCTGACCAACCCTCTCCCCGTCTCTCCTCCTCCAGACTTCCTCTGTACCTGGTCTTCTTGGGCGTCAGTCTTCTCTTCCTGGTGGTTAATCTTGTCTGTGCCCTGCTGGTCAAAATGACCGCGGCCGACGTCAAGACCATCGTCCTGGTGAGGGTCACCATCAACGACAGCCTGTTCGTCCTCTGCGCCGTCTCGCTGTCCATCTGCCTCTACAAGGTCGCCAAGATGTCGCTGGCCAACATCTACCTGGAGTCGAAGGTAAAGTCACGTTTTCTTGTATAATTCATTCAATTTATGTCAATAATATCAGAATTAAGATGAGTGATAATGGTTAATACCTCTGTGTGCAGGGGACGTCGGTGTGTCAGGTGACTCTGATTGGCATCATGGTGGTGCTGCTGTACGCATCGCGGGCCTGTTACAACCTCGTGGTCCTTGCCCTCACCGACATCGAGACCATCAACTCCTTCGACTACGACTGGTACAACGTCTCGGACCAGGTGGGGTTCAGGCGTCTGTTCGTGCTGGTCGAACAGGAGTTTTTTTAAAGCTTTTTTTTTAAGCTTTTTTAAAAAGCGTCTTTTCGCCACTGACCTTTGACCTCTTGTGCGTTTCCAGGCGGACTTGCGGTCGTCGCTGGGAGACGCCGGTTACATCGTGTTCGGGGTGATTCTGTTCGTCTGGGAGCTGCTGCCCACCTCGCTGGTCGTCTTCTTCTTCAGGGTCCGACGGCCGCCTCAGGAAAGGGTCAGTCCTCCTCGAGTGACCTCTGACCTCTCAAATACTTGCAGCTGGTTGTTTGTTAGCCGTAGCGTAGCTCTAAGGATGGCAGTGCGTCAGTCCAGACTGAAATAGCAACAAATATTTTTAGTTTTCAGTGAAATATCTCAGCTTAAGGACCTTGTTGAGCCACTGATTTTTCCATCATACCTGCATACTTGGAAAGCCTAAGACGAAGAGAGCAGCAGTAAAGACCCCCCATAGAGAACAGAACAACAGAAATGACACTTATTAAATCAGATACAGCGTGAAAGGAGGAGCTGAAGGTTGCAGAGGAAGCAGCAACGACAGGCAGGTTAAAGGTTCAAGCAGCTCAAATAAGGCGGATTTAACATTTGGATGCTTGAGGGGAATGAACTGATGTAGCTGATGTGGCATTGGAAGCTTGATCCTGTGGCCCCCCTGAAGTAACTCATCGTTTTTAGAAATCAGAATCGGTTTTATTTCCAAGTAGGTTTTTAGTTGTAATCTACAACTTCACACTAATCACTACCACAGTGGTGCTTTAAGAATTGATTGTCTAAAGTCAGTCTTACTTTTAAATGTGTGTTTCTGATAAAGATTTGTGTTGATGATCCTGTAACAACAGGACGCTGTTCCTTCATACGCTTTGTACCTTCTTAAATTCATAAAAGCCTTTAAAGTCTTAAATTTAACCCAGTTTTATTGACTTTTAGTTACTTCATTGAGCCATTCAATTACAATTTAATTAATTATATTATTGGGCCGCAGCAGCTGATTGATCACTAATATCCTTCCTCTGAAATGTCTGATGTCGACTCTTCGTCTCCTCAGAGCACTGCCGGGATACCGAACCACGTTCTCTCCTCCAGAGGATATTTCTTCGACAACCCTCGTCGGTACGACAGTGACGATGACCTGGCGTGGAGCATTCCTCCCCAGAATGCATCAGCAAGGTACAAACATCAGCTCTGACGTCCCTGTTGTGCTGTTTCTGAATTCCATATTCGTGTATAAATAATAATAATATAAATAAATCATTATTGGATCATAATTATCGATGCTTTTAAAGTTGCTGCTGGTTAAAGTGAGACTCGTTAACGACTTTATAAACTGTTAGCTGGTGAATTTCAACCCGAAGATCAATGAAGTTAATTGATCATTTGTTTAATTTGTTTGTTGATTATATTTTATATTATTCATTTTAATCCGCAAAGTAACTTATACATACATTTTGTGGAGTAAAAGGTTCAATATTTGTACAAAGTTAGAGTCAGTGGTTCCTTTTTCGTGGTGATTTTTGACCCCACGACACGAAGATGCCGCTAGACAAAACCTAAAATACAATCAATTCTCTAACAGCGGTTTGTTAAAATAGAAGTTTAATTTTACATTAAATTTAAAATGGCCGTCTGGACATGATACACGTGTGTTCGTGCCGTGGCGTCCAATTCTGATACACCGCCATGAAACAGGAAGTTGTTGTAACTTCACTGTACTTTCTCCAATCTCGACCAAACTTAACATGTTTGATTAAAGTCCCGCCCTGAACACGTCTGCATGCCAATATTTAGTCGACAGGAAGTAAACCATGAGACTTTAATAATAATATAATACTACTACTACTACTAATAATAATAATAAACTGAATGAACTGACTGTTTCCCGTCTCTCTGACAGTCTTTCCTCTGACTGCTACGACTGGGGCAGCCGCCACAGCAGCTTCACTGTGCACACCAACAGCGACGAACAGCGCCTGACCGCCGCCGCCACCGGAGAGCTCCACCCTTACCCATAATTCCTCTGTAACTGTACAGCATCACTCTGCACTTTGACACCGATCAGTTATTGTGTTTATTATCACTGATGTACCAGTTTGTAGAGAATTTATAAAAAAAATACCAGAAGGTCCAGCAGGGTTCCCACACGGGTCGTATTCATGTTAACACTGTAGCGCCCCCCTCAGGCCACTGCAGCACAGAGCAGCTCATCAGGATCTGATTCGCTGATGGAGGCCTTGAAATTTGGAGAAATCCAGGCTCCAAATATTCAAGTTTTGCACAAATTGAATGAATTTTACAAATTAGTTTTGACCGGGTCCGACTGCTGCAGCGCCACCTACGGGTCAGAGGGTCGATTCCTGCATTTGTTCTATGAATATGAATGAAAATGAGTTTAAAAGGTCCAGTTTTTAACATAAGAGGATAAAAATGTGTGAACACATTCATGCGTCAGTGTCAGTGGATCCAGACTGTGGAGGAGCCCTGCTTCAGAGAAAGGCTGTGTTGTTTAGAGTCTGTAGACAATGTTGTGATGAATGTTTCTTGATCATTTGGGTTTGAGTTTTTCATCGAGTATTAACTCGGGCACAATTCTTCATTTCATTTCAGACATTTATTCCCGCCTCATTCTGCAAACGAAGGTCCCAGAAGTGATTTTTAAGACTTCTGGAGACTGATGAGACACTTTCAGACAATCTGTCGGGTTAATGAAGGTCACTTAAAGCTCCAGTGTGTAACACTAATATCCATAGGTGTGTTTTCTTTAGTGTTTAATCACCTGAAAATAGGAATCATTGTTTTTGTCACCTTAGAATGTTTTTATCTAAAGAGGCAGCGGGTCCTCTTCTGGCGGAGTCCGCCATGTTTCTCACGATTCTCATGGCCACCGTAGTTCCTCCTACATGCTTGGAAGATGTGACTAAACCCTGAACACTGGACCTTTAAGTTTTTGACATTAACCTGCAAAACAATCGAACAATCTTTGAAAAACTCCTCGAGTCATTTTCGGAGATTTTTGACTGTAAGAGACAAAAGACACAGAAAGATGGACGACATGACAGCTCTCCAAATACTCAGCTCTCCCCCTTTTAAAGCTTATAAAGTATTATAAACTACAAAATCAAATTGAAATAAATGTTTCCCAAAGATGGTTTCTGTCAGTTTAGGTTGCTGATGTTTGTTCATTTTTATCATCAGTTTGGTTTAAATTAATTATCTGAAGATATAAAAAAGGGGTTTTATTCATGTACAGCGGAAGGAAACAGGAGACGTCCATCTTTTATATGTCGATGGACCAAATGGTCGAAGCCTGTACAACTAAATACATCACAATGCACACGTGCACTGATATTGATTTTACATAATCAATATCCTGTAAATATCAATAACCAGACAGCCTCCGTGTTGTTCACCTCAAAATATTCACATATTAATAAGTCATTTAATCTTGACTTCTCTTTAAATAAATTAAAACATTTATTGACTGATATTATTTGCTAACTCTCAGATGAGTTATTGATCCATTATTATATTTCTGTTAATATGTTTTATCGTGTTTCTGTATCGATGTTCAGAAAAAGCTTAAAGTCTATATTTCTAACAGGTTTTGTAAGTTCTTTGTACAGCTGCAGAGTCTCACTGAGCATTTGGTTCCTTGTGTGTTTGTGTATTTGTGACGTGTTCACACAGAAAATCAGACTTCAATAAAACGACCGTATGGTTACCATGACAACAAACATTCAGTCGTTTCCCGATCGCTTTGTTTTAACGATCGATCAGTTTGTGATTAAACTTCTGCAAAGCGAAGCCACGAGACCAGAAGGTTCCTCAGTCACAACGTCTTCTCAAAAACGTAATAAATAAATCTCATAATTCATTGTTTCAGTTTTATAAGTTTGAATTATTATTTAAGAACCTCGTCCTGCACTAGAGAAGAACTATTCCATTCAATTCAATTCAGTTCATTTGTATAGCTCCAATGATCAGGATGTCGGGACGGAGAGTGTGAAATGAAACTTTGCAGGAACTCACAGAAAGAAAGTAAACTTCTAAAACTTTAAAACATCTAAATTAAACTTTTTCTGAATCAGTGGGAAATATGTATATACATAAATATATATATTATTTTAATCAACAAGCAAGCAAAGTTCAGTGATGTCCAGAAATATTTATTCATCTTTTCAAATAAATATAGTCAACAGGTACTTTATAGATTTATTTATTCAGAGATCAACAGAAAGAAAACTTCAACCTGTTTGGATTCAACATGAAGATCTGAAGCAGGTTTTTTTTTTGTGGTCTTTTTCCAAAATAGCGATTTAGTTTTAAGGCGGTACGGAGGACATGCAAGGCTCAGAGGAGAAATAGACTTCACACAAACTCTCTTATGGAGGCTGGAAGGTGACACTGAATGAATTAAAACTGATAACTAATTATTAACGTTTGCATTTCATAAACAACTTAACACCTTTAACTGATGAATCTGATCGCGGCAACTTGATTTGACATCTGAGAAACTTCAACAGAGTAAAAAAATTAAATAAAACGAAGAAATTAAATCCACATAAATTATAATAGATGGTTTTCAAAGTAAAATATTTAAGTGATTTAAATTCAAATTCAGTGATAATTTTAACACTAAAAGTAAATTAATTTGTGGAAGCACATTTCTGCCAAAACAATGACAGAATATCAGAAAGTCATTATTTTGATAAACGTTCTCATTATTATATTGGCCTAAATGGGCTTCCATAGTCACAAGATTGCAATACTTACTAAATGTGTACTTTAATTTCATTATTCTGTGTTTAAATGATTTATAAATTAATGAGACTTAAAGTTGATTTGTTCAGTTATTTTCAAAATCATTGAATGTTAAATCTTGTGTACTGTAAAAAAAAAAAACTGTAATTAGTTTACTGTTTATAGTTTTCGTTTCAGCCACTAAAAAAGTTTATTTAAAGATAAAAAAAGATTTATTTTCTTATATCACACAAATTCATAATTTTTATGACTTATTAATCTTATTTTTTTTACAAGTAGCATAAAAGGAAACTGTATCTAAATTGAATTATACAACTGTCACTAAAATAACGTTGAAACCTTAATTATCATTCAAAGGTAGAATATTAAACCTTATTCTATTTTTACTAAGTTTCTTAAATTGCAACATTTAAAGGTAAATTTTAATGGTCACTTTTACAACTAAAATGCATAAAACTGATTTAATTATTTAATTAGTTGATGACTCACTGAAAATGTTTTTAATTTGTCACACTCAGGCCTCCATATTCTTCCTGTCTCATAAACACATAAAATAAGAAACCGTCGTTGTTCTCCGCCGCCGTTCGTTGTACTCTTCATCGCAGCGTTATTTAACACTTCCCGCAGCTTTCACAATAAAAGTGGACACAAAGTCTCAACATCTTTATATTTTGGTACATTGTGGAATTTACTCTCAATTTATTCTATTTATTATTGCTTTTACTGTGAAGGGGCTGCAGGAAGGATCTGGAGCTAAAGTCATTAACTGCGACTCTGATAAAAACATAAACTTCTGAACATAACGAGCTCTTTCAATCAAAACCTTCATGTTGTGATGCAGGTTGGGCCTGAGAGCCAAAACTCAGGATAAAAAGAAAGAAAGAATCTGACTGACAGGAGTTTCTACAGATGATTTGAAGCTGCTGATATAATCTTTAATTGTAATTAATTCCCCGTCAACCCAGAAGCGATAAACGGCATTAAAGCACACAATAGGAACAGAAGCTGCAGATTTTACTTTTAATATTTTATACTTTAAACCCTAATTCAGCTCTTAAACACGCAGAATACAGAGGTGAAACATCAGCCTAACCCTCAAGAAAACAGCTTTAAACATAACTTATCGTAACATCGTGTGTCCGAACTACAACATAAACACTTCCTGGACATCACAAACAAAAAAACACATCATAATTAAAATGTAGGCAACTTCTTTGGTCCACTTCATTCTTTTACTGCTGAGCGAAAACAAACCGTCGCAATCTGACGAAAAAAACACTGAAAAAGCCGAACGGCAAAGTAAATATCTTCGCCTGCAGTTCCTCCTGCGGCCACAAAGGCTCAACTTGCTCCTGGAAAAGTGGAATTTTAAAGGTGTATAATATATATAATATAATAATAGCGAATTTCCCGCCCCAGCAGCTGGACTGTGATTGGCTGCAGGGATGAGACGAAGGTGGCGTTCAGTGTAATGACTTCCTTTGCTTGTTAGACGTTGCTTATTGATCGTTATTGATCGTAACAGGCGTCCCTCAGGGTTCGTAATCACTTGAATCGGCCGGTTCGCCGCTCTGTGACCGCCTGTCGTTCAGGACATTGAACGCCTCGTTAGAGGAATAGTCTGGTTGTATTCTGTGTTTTTCTTAAAGTCAACAAATCCCAACGGTATTGATTATCAATCACACACTAGTTTCTTTCTAAAATGAGGATTAATCTGCTGTTGAAAGTAGTCCAACAAATGCACCATTTCCTCCGGTTTAATGAATCTACTGTGCCCTTTTTTATGAATGAAACTATATATTTTAATTGTTTTTAAAGATTTACGTCCTCAGTAGGAACTGATGCGGTTTGAGCTGATGGACCGACATTTATTCATTATAGTGAAACTTAAACTGGAAACTAAACCTAGAACCGTCGTATTGTGACGCCTATTCTGACAAATACCAGCATTATTATAATAGACCAGAAACAAAATTAAAATGAAACAACTATAATAACTCACACAGGACTTGTTGACAATAAGAAAACTATAAAATAAGAGCAGACTTTATACGTTCCCTCACATTGTCCCATCACAAATCAACAGCGGCGGCTCTCATCCTCTCTCCTCTCGCCGCCACGCCGCTGTTTCACTTCGGATTCACAGCGGGAAAGAAAATACTGACACAACCTGAAGAGAAACTAGACAACTCCCAAAGTTTTCCTCTTTAAATAAACGTTATAAATCTGTTAAAGTTGTGCTTTAAGACAACGTGGCTTAAGCAAAACTAAGAGTGCCTGGAAAGAGGAGGCAGCAAGTTTACTGAATACACAGACAGACAGACAGACAGACAGGCAGACAGACAGACAGACAGACAGGCACAGAATCATTAGTTATCGCAAAAAGAGCAAAACTCTGCTACCGTATATTAAACTATGGGAATCAAGTCATTGTCCATAAATGTATAGCTGCAACTGTTGATCCACACACACACACACACCTTCTAGCGAGCTGACATAAGTTAGGCCTGAGATGGTGAACGGGAGCTGATTGGTCCAGAGCTTCAGACTTTGAGCGACAAACCGAAAACAGGAAGTGAGAGAGGAGAGGAAACTAAACCAACAGGAAGCTGCGTCCTGGCGGTTTCAGACGCACTCAGGGTTTCGTCCTGACTCGAGTCCGTTCTCAGGATGAAGCGACTCCTTACAGAAGAGCCGTAAAGGTCCGACTCAGAAAATCCCACAGGATGTGATGTCAGCAGAGGGCGAAGAAAGGGAGAAAGATGGAGAGAACGAAGGATTGTAAAGATGTTTTTACGATGCTTGTTAAATGGAAGTACGTTATTGAATTTGTAGTTTTAATCTGTGTTAGTGAAATTTGTTCATTAGATTAAAAATTAAGAGACGAGGCAGAAAGGAAGAGAGGGAGAGTTATAAATGGGAGGAGGAGGAGGGTAGAAGAGAGTGGAAAGAGAGAGATAATGAAAGAGAGATTCAACCTGATTTTGATACTGAATGTGTGTGAAAAGTATTCTAAGATACTTCTTGGTAGAGCAGGTTAAGATAATTGAGTTGTTATGTGTGATGGGGATACTGGTAGTGGAGTAATTACTGTTAAAACTGATTGGTAAAAATAAGGTTCTCATATTTTTCTTTTTTCAAGTATTTTGGTAGTTATGTCTTTGTTTCCATTTTGGATTGTTAGTGGGCTATAAAAGAATGGCTATTTCAAAGGGTTGTCCAATACCAGCATAAACACTGTTCTTGTAATTAGCGGCCCCTGCTTGCTTCTACCTTGCACGACATTTCTTTCCAATAACTCCCCCAGCAACAAAGCCCTCAGCTTTGTAGACTGCCAGAACCCATTAACATCCATTTGCATTTTGGTTTTATTCAAAAAAGTACAACTTTAGTCGCTAAATGTTTTAGGTAAATTGCCATATGGTCTTGGATCTGCGTTCCACCCACATAAAGTCACTGTTTTGGAGATTGAGGATGGAAAAATAGATTACACAGCCACTGCGGCGACTGTAGTTAATGGATCATATTGCCTCCCGGAGGAGGGAAGTCTCTTGAAGTAAAACTGAACCTAAATACAAAACATAATATTTGCCTTTATTATTAAATGAGAGCAGATATCTGTATACTTGGTACCAGCCCTCTATTCTATAGTTTAATCAGGCCAGTTAAATACTGAAAACTGGCTGTGTAAATATTTCAACTCCATGATCCAGTCTACGTTTGTTAGAGTGTAAGGAAAAACAGCTTACCGAGATGCAGATCTCGTTGTGCCATGAATTAATGGTGGATAACTAATACGTCTTGCGCGAAGCGTGTGTTGTGCGCCAACTTGATGGGAAGAGAAGCTGACATGACGCCTGATTTGAAAGGAGGGACATTTTTCCTTGGACAGGGTTGTAATATTGGTCTTGAAGTCGCGCGCGCGCGATGCGAATGGACTTGAGGAAAGCGAAAACCCCATTAAAGGGGATTATGACATTAGAGTATGGCTGGCGAAGAGAGAGAGGTCTGATGAGCGGGTCATGCAGAATGAGGCACTCTATAGATGTGAGAATTACTAAGATCCACTGCTGCAACCTTTAAACGGTGAATAGAGAAAACGATGTAATCATTGAACAGAAGAAATATAGTTTTATACTATCTTACAAGTCAATATCATAAGTGCACCAGTAAATTTACTTTTTGAATTGAAGGAAATCACAAACAGCATGTAGAATTTAAAACAACGTGCTGGATGAGATTAAGACCACCAGGGGTTATAATACCCCACCCGCAAACCATTACATCTTAAGAACATCTCTAAGTTAAGAACTTCTGCAATTTAAATTAGATCACATTAAGACACACAAACAGCATAACTGATCAGTACTCAATGTGGTCGGGGGGTGGTGCAAATTTTTGGTGCAAAGCACTGGTGCTTAAGAGAAAGCCTCATTTCAGTATTTTTTCTCCCATGCTACATCACCTGTCTCTCTTGGTCTTATCCAGCCGCGTTTGATAAGTATTATTGAAATGCAGGAAAGAGTTTCAGAGAAGAAGACTGAAGAAGAGAACAGTACAGAGAATATGTAGTGAAGGTGCGATAAAGCCCTGATGTATGAGGCGCGCGTGTTTGGAAGAGCGCGAGAGCGAAGCACGGTTTAAGACATAAGCCAACTCACGGCGTGCACTGGAAGCGCGAGATTGCTTGACATAAGCCGCGAGGAAGAATGATAAGAGCGTGCTCATTCCTGCATTGATCTGACTAGAAGTAGACTTGGAGCGAATAGAGGCATATGGAAAAAAGAATCGGACCTTCAATGGACTGATTTCGATACCTAGATGACGCGGAGAAGAAAAGATTCATGGTCAAGAGGAGCTCGAGAGAAGAAGAAGATCTAAGCATGGCTGGCAACCGAGAAGAGAGAGTAATGCGAGATGACGATGCAAAGCTACAGGACGAAGGTGTCAGATTATAAGCCAAGGACTGGAGTATATCTCATGCTGATTGTAATCTCGAAATTTTGAGAAAGTGACATGCTGACGTTTCACCGCGCAAATGCGGGTGCCCTGTCAATAACTGGTCTCGAGATTTCTTAAAGGATCACCCTGTGGAGAGAGTGAATCCAGCATAAGGAGCCTATTGAAAGAAGCACACTGAAAATCTGGATGTGCTGGCCCATAAAAACAAGAGCTCTGATTGTGGATTTAAAAAAAAAAAAGAAAAAAAAAGATTAAACTAATGCTGACAGTTAATTTACGTAATTAAACTGAATCTCATACAGGAGTTAAAATAAACATGCACTGGACAGAACTGTTTAGTGGTTTGCTTGTGACATCAGACCCCACGGTAAGGGTCCCGCAACCGGAAAACAGAAAAAAACAACTCTCATGATGGACGACTCGACTCCACCTCATGGATTGCCATTTCGAGCAACAGATGAGCAGAACTTGTATGTCATTTGGGCAAGCCAGAGCAGCGACATTGCCATCGCCAGAGTTGCCCCGAAAGGATC